TTTTAAATAATAAAAATGTTTAAATATTTTACATTTAGTTTAAATATTTAAATAACTAAATATTTTAAATAAGGAAATATTTAACATAACTAAATTTTAAATAGTTAAAATAACAAAATTATGTAATAAACTTATAAATAAATATTTTTTAAATGTTTTAAAATAAAAAAATTAATACTGGATCATATTTTAAAGGTTATTTTAAAACAAAAAATAGATTAAATAATGAAATTATGAAATGAATTTAAAACTTTATCTAGGACAAAAAATTAATTATAATAGATTTTATAATATTCAATAATATGAATATAAAATATAAACAATTAAAAAATTTAAATATTATTGAAATAGTGAAAGTAGATTAAATAACTTAGAGGTATTGAAGCTTTATTAATTATCTATTGTATTTTTACTATAATTTTCAATAATTATTGGAGATTAAACTATTCTTATTTGTTAGAGATTAAACTATCAATTTAGCCGACATTGGGAGTATTCACTAGATGGTTTAATTAGATTGCAAATTGTTTGGCTAGTCAAATTAATATGGTTGGGTTGGGGAGTTGGTCACTTGAAGCTAACCAACCATTAATGGAAACCGGTTCAACCATCCTAGTCGAACAAATTAGACCATTCTACGTCATCACTTTATATATTTAAATAATATATATTTATATACATATATAAATGTGCATATATCTATACTATTATAAAAAGTACGAATGAAGGTGTGGAACTTTTCTTGACGAAAATGCTCACAATTGTTATTTAGTTTATCTCTAGTTATGAAGGTAAGGTTGAAAATGTAATTTCAATTAATGCTTTTCACCTCATTTAATCTCCTCTCATTAACTCTTATATTTAAGGTATTAACTTTCATTCTCTCTTATTAAATTCTATATTTAAGCTATTTTTTCACTAATAAATGCTACTAATTAGATCTATGTCCAAAACTTTTAACAATATAAACCCATATATTTTAAAAATTTCTCAAAAAACAAAACCATTCTTTACACAAGTGATGACTAAGCAATTCAACCATCCAAATCAAATTGGTCAGCCCATGAAGTCATAGTTAGATAATAAAATTTTTAAATAGAAATAAAAATAAAAAATTACTAAAATATGGAAAAAATATACACATTTATGATATTTTTATTAATCAAATTAAAAAAATAAGTGTAATAAACAACAATTATTTTTATTGATGATGAAAATGAAATACATAATCTAAAACTAACAAAAAATAAAATTATTTTCCTTTTTAGCAGAGATCAATAGTTCAACTTCTGGCTCAAATCTATCAACCCTTAATGTCATAATTAAATAATAAAAAATTAATAAAATATAAAAACACAAAAATGAAAAATGCCAATTCATGGGCGGGTATGGGTGCATAGGGTGTGTTTTTTTTTTTTACGTTTTGAATGTTTATGACTGTGCAGTGGGAATCAGAAATCTGCATTGGGTGTATCCGTACTTCTCCGAAATAATTGCCTACTCTTATATATTTCTATTATTTAACTTTCACTTAACAAAGTTTGTGCATTGCATGGGTCCTCGCTAGTATTATTTAAATAGTGAAAGTAGATTAAATAACTTATAGGTATTGAAGCTTTTTATTAGTTATTTATTACATTTTCATTATAAATATATTTTTAGTAATTGTATATTTTTGCTATAAATTTCCAATAACTATTGGGGATTAAATTATTGTTATTTGTTAGATATTAGACTATTAATTTAGCTGAAATTAGGAGTGTTCACTAGGCGGTTCAATCGGTTACGAATTGTTTGGCTAGCTAAACTGATCTAGTTGGGTTGGGGGGTTGGTCACTCGACCATTAGCGAAAACTAACCAAATTGAATTGTATCAATCAATGTTTTAAAAACCAACCCGGAGATCAACCTACTTTTGCATTTAGGTTGCAGTCATTGGTTCAATCGTCCGAGTTGAATGGGTCACCAGCTTGGCCCAATCCAGGCTGGGTCATGATCACCCTATCCTCATTTTATATGAAAGAAAATGAATGTAAGAGTATTATTTGTTTAGGAGTGAGTAGATAAATTCATGTTCGCAAAGGCTTTAGGCTTTTCTAAGAAGTCTAAACCAGCCAAAAAATATTTGGACCCAATATTTACGATCCGAGCCCAAGCTATGGGCCTCAAAACATGCTTAAGCATGATAAAGAATGGGTCGGGCCAAGCAAGCCCGTCAGGCAACCTAATCCAACAAGAGTAAGTTAAGATATAATTGAGATAGGAGGAATGTAGAACAAATTCTAGGATATAAAATTTGGACTTGAGAGCCAGTGAGTGCAAAAGGAAAAGGCACAAATTTTGTGTGAGGTAAGCTAATAATAATATTTTCTAATAATAATAATAATAATAATTTATTACCGCCTTTGGTATTTGTAGAGGAATACTCCCTTACGGAAACAAATAAATAATGGAACATTTCTTTGAAAATTGGCAATATCAAAGCAGCCCATGAAATTATGCTACAACAAATATATATATATATATATATACACGAATGATGACATCATCATTCCTGGTATTATCATTGGGAGAGGTTGGGGCAGTCTTGTGGGGGCTGATTCGGTCTCACCTAAATAATCTAATATCCTAAAATTTATCCTAAACAACCTCTTAAATTATCTCTAATTCTTATTTATCTTCTCCCACACTTTTTATCTACATCTATCGAAAGAAAGTTAAAATTAAAAAATTTAAGAATTATTTAAATATTCAACGAAATTATATAGTAACTTTAAAATATTTATTAAAAAGACAAAAATAATTACAATTTATTTAATAATATTCATATTATTAATATTATATATTTTTACAAAATTCATCATGAAATTGTGTACAAACAATATAAATTATGATTTTCTAGATATTTCAATCTAAATGTTATTCAAATCAAGGTTCAAAGTATCGACACATATCGAGCCATATCGGCCAATACGTATCATATTGGGAGCTTCCCGATACACCCCTACAGAGGGTGTATCTGGGTTTTGACTGGTTCAGGGGGTGGACAAACCTTAAACCAGCCCCTATGAACCAGATTTGAAAAAAAAACTAAAAAAAATAGAAAAAAAAGCTACTGATACTACTCAATAGGCCTCTATCGGAGTATCGGGCATATCGATATTTTGAACTATGATTCAAATAATAAAAATCTAACATTAAAAATGAAATTTTATTTAGATATTTCAATAACTAAATATCTTAAATAACAAAATAATAAAATTAATATTTAAATCAATAAATATTATATTTTAAACAGTTATTAAATAACTTTCAATTATAATAAATAGATTAAGATTTTAAATAACTAAATATTTAACATAACTAGATTTTAAATAGTTAAAATAAAAAAATTATGTATTAATACTACTATAATTTTATGGATTATCAAATTCAACAAATAATTAATCTTTTAAAAATTTGAATAGTGATATTATTTCATTTATACCAATTAATAATTCTAGAAAATAGATTAAAAAAATATCATTTACTAATAATAATTTTAAAAGCTTAATCTTTATTTATTATATATTTATCTATACTAAAATTATTATTTTTTTGTATTTCAGTAATTATTTATTGTTTTTTGAGATAAATATATTTTCAATAATTATGTACAAATCTATTTTTTGTTATTTAATAAAAAATTTTTAATAATTATTGGAGCTTAAGCTACTATTATTTAGCTTTTTAAATTTAATTTATTTTGTGTTTTCACTATAAATTTTTAATAATTATTAGAGATTAAACTATTGTTCACGGGTTGGTCGGTTCAGCTGTAGGTTGTTTGGCCAACCAAATCGACCTGGTCAGGTTGGGGGGTTGGTTACTTAGGTTATATCAGTTTGGGTCAATTTTCGGTTTGGTTGGTCGATTCAGAAGATTTAAACTTAAAAATTAAATTTAAATTTAAAAAAATTACAATGGCATTATAAAAAAAATAAATTTATAATATAAACTATTTTAGCCTAAGAAATATTGAAATTTTCCCACTTTTCCGTATTAAAAAATATATTTAAAATATAAAATATTAATATATATCTATGGTCAGGTCGTTCGATTTTAGTTAGTTTACAAATGGTCAAAGAAAAACTGATCCAACCCAGCCGGGTTGGGATATTGTTGAACCAAAGCTGACTAAAAATACTAGAAATCAGGTTGATTAGTTTCACTAGTTTGATTCGAAATGGCAACGGGGCGGGGTGGGGATGAGGAGCCTCTCCCCATCGACGTCCCCATCCCCATCCCTACTAATGGGGACAAAGTTATCCCCATCCTTGTCGGGACCCCCACTCCTTGTGATTCTTTATAATATCAACCATTATGTTTTTATTTTTTATTTTATTTAAAAAATAAAATAATTAAAATTTATAATCCTATTAGAAAAGATTCAAACATATTCAACCATATTTTTAAAATATTAACATATATACGTAGTGTATATATATACATGTATAGATGTGTATATATTTTTAAAAATATTTAAAAAATATACATACATTTATACACATATATATATAGCGGGGATCCCATGGGGTAGGGATCAGGGTCCCTGTGGGGCAAAGAGTGCTCTCCCCGTCCCTGCACCGCCCTTGCCAATGGAGATGAAAATTTCTCCATCTCCATTCCCACAATGGGAAAATCATTCCCATCACCATTCCATTTAAGGCAAATCCCTAGAGATCGAAAAAATGGGAAAATTTGTTATCCCTAAATTTGATAAAAAAAATTTATCTAAAATTAATTATTGTTATTTTTGTATTATAAAAAAATATTAAAAGTAATATATAAAATATAAATGATTATTAATTATTATAACGATTATTAATTATCATATTAAAAAATATATATAAATTGTTTATTTTAATTTAACAAATCGCATGCATCACACGGATCCGCTAATTAAATTATTAAGGAGAAAGAAAAAAGAGAGAAAAAACTAATACGATCGGTGATCTGACCTTGAGCTTGGAGGGATCGACGGCCACGTTTTCGCTTGTCATATTGAGAGGGTTGTCCTGGACTGCACAGAGAGCGGATACAGCCTCCGCAGCGGTCTGGATGCATCGGAGAAAAGGCGAAACAAACACTCTGTGAATCGGGAACCCTAGATTTTTTCGAAGCTTCCTCCCGGTGCAGAACGCTCGGGTCTTTCCGGTGTCCGTGAGAGGTGGATCCCATGGCCGTGAAGCGGTGGCCACCCACAGGGGCTGAAAATTGTCGATCCGGTCGCCGTGCCTCATGACGATTACGTGTTGTTGAAACTGTTCACGGAGTTGATTTTCGAGCCCATAGTCATGGGCTCTTTCGGGGATCGCTTGCATGTCCTCCAGCAGGTCAACTTGGGGGAGACACACAGAGACAGATAGGAGAAGTGACCGGGGGAAGGATTCGAGAGAGAGATAGCGTCGTATTTAAAATGGAAAGACGGGGAGGAGAGGACAGATGGAGGTAGTAGAGGGGGTTGGAATATGGAAATGGAGAGAAGAGGAAGAAGAGAAACAAGTATGCTGACACGGTTGATGTGATCTGACCACTTCAGGTTTGCCGCGACCACACCTCCATGCGACCACCCAATTAAACACACGCCAGCCATGGAAATTAATTAGTGAAAACTTGCTGCGACCACGGTTTCAGCACTTTCTTTCGGACCTCCGATAAGATACGCACATCTCTGTGTTTGTCTTGTCTTTATTCTTAATTTCAAATAGTTAGGATTCTCTCTTTTTTAGGGGAAAATCTATGGTGCGGAAAAGATATGGTATGTGAAGAGTTTTTACTAATTAAAATTTTTATAAATTTTGATAAATAATACCTGATTGGCAACTACGTTTATGATTCCAGTTTATTGATTATAAGTTTTTTAGATATTATATCTTTTCCATATCATAGTCGAACCATTTTTTTAGAACAGGGATATAAAATGTGTTTGACTGTTTGGAACTGTGGATGTTATCGATTAAACGTTTTGTAATTGATTTGTTTGAAAGATGGAGAAAATTGAAAAGCACTAATGAATCTGTTTATTTATATTTAGTGTCATTAAGCATCACATCAGCAAAATGAACAAACATCTATCCATTAGGGGAAGCGTTAAAATGAAACTTCCTCCGATGGTTTTGTGCACGTAAACTGAAACCTACTTTTGCAAGTTTTTATATGTACGACTATACCAATTCATATAATGGGGGAAATACTAAAGTGACGTCTATGTGATAGCGTTTATTTAATAAATGCTCACGGTTCTAAACACCTTCATAATTATTGACGGTCACTTAAAAGTGAACACGATCATATGATTTATTGGATTGGATCATGAAATGGATGCTGTCTACGATCTTTTTTGATGTTCAATTTAAGCTTTATTTGAGTTGATATAAATGTATAGGAGTGTAAATAGGCTGATTGTCTTTGCTTTATATGAAGAAAATAATAATAAGGTAAGGGGAAGGTCAAATGGCCAGTGCCCAAATGGCCACGGTTCTTCTTCTTCTTCTTCTTCTTCTTCTTCTTCTTCTTCTTCTTCTTCTTTCTCATGGTTGAGCAAATGTTTGCCCAAATGGCCAGTGCCACTCTTACTACAACTAAAGTCTTTCCTACATTTTTTTGGCAAACAACTCTTTTTCCCTTCCCCTCAACCTCTTCTACTTTAAATATTTTCCAAATTGGGCTAACCAACTTAGTGGCCTTCTTTTTCCTTCCCCTAGTATTAGTACTAGGGGTGGAAGTTCCATCAATATCAATAGCATCCATATCGGTGCTAACACTATCATGATACAATTGAATATCGTCAACATTAAATGTGTTGGGGAATCGGTTTTGGGAGGAGTTAGTCATTCTTTTTCAATTCTAAAAAAATAAAAATTAATTTAATTGGACTTACCCGGATTGCCAGTTCGGAATCCTAACTTGATTTCAACGGTTGAAGCCTTTCAACTCCAAGAGTCCAAGCCTCCCAAATTGCTAATTAACTTGAGCTGGTTGAGTAGAGCAAACCTTCTTGTTGAAACTTCAATAAAGTTGAGAATTAGAGAATTAGTCAATCAGAGTTTAGATCACTTTAGACTTCAAAGAATGTATGAGAGAAGAAATTAAGAGAATTGTTGAATTGGTGTGATGAGAAAGGTGGAGGATAGGGTTGTTTATAGGAATTGAAAATAATTCAATTGCCCAAAATACCCTAAAAACAAGTCATTTTTTAGTTGTTGGGAGGGGTATTTTGGTCATTGTAAAATTATTTATCATTTTACCCAAAATGCCCCCATAAACTAGTTGTTATATTACTGTTGGGGGGCATTTGTGTCATTTTTTCTCCCCATAACCAAAATACATAAATACCCCCTATATAGCTAGTTATAGCTATTGGGGATATTTCTATAAAAAACCCACAATGGTAAAACTAGTCATTAGGGAGGGGAGGTCCCTAATGGCTAGTTCTCGGGTGGGTCGTGCTATAGGCCCGCGGGCTGTGTTGCGGTCTGGGTCGTGCCAGCCTGTAGGCCATGGGTAGCACGACAGGCGTGTTCGTGCCGTCCCGTGGACTCCAAACCCCAGGCCTAGTACGGCTCACACGGTCATGCCCGGTCTGGCACAGACCGTGTGCCAGGCCGTGGGTGGCACGACCTGATTTACACCTCCAGGCGGAACAAACTCAATTGAGCTTCAAATTTCGAGACTCCTAACCCTTTTTTTCTGAGTTTCAACCCTTCCTTTACCAACTAACCCCAGCTCATCCTAACCCTAGTGGGTACCCTTGACCCAACTCACCCTAGCCCTTTCCCCCTGACTCTAATGGGTCACTCGACTCATATTGACCCACCAATAGAATGGGTGGGTCAAATGGGTTGGGGTCAAGATTGCTAGCCCTAATTTTACGGTTGGGCTTGATCCCAACACTTCAAGCCCAGCCTAATCCCCACTTGACCCGCACATATTTTATATTATTTTTTATTTATATATAAATATTATAAAATGATACTTACAATACATATAATATATGATATTTTATATTATAAAATGTATAAAATAATTTTATAATGCATTCACTATTTTATCCATAAAATTCATAGGCTCAAAGTTACACTGGCCTGGCCTAGGTTATAGCTCATATTACAATTGTTAAGCCTGGCCTACACCTATTTAGGGCTGGGTGCATCCGTGCATGTTTAATTTTTTGGTTCGGAACCCAAGTCAGGCCCAGACCTAGACCATAGTCTTATAACATGTTTTAAGCCCAACTTGAGTCGGCCAATGATCACAACTACTTACCTTCCATCCATTTTAATTCTAGTTAATACAAGTCTTTTAATAAAACAAAAAACATTAGTAAGAAATTACTAGTTTTGAAATTAACTTTTATAATTAATATCGATTAAAATTATATTTAAAAATCATGACAAAAGTTAATAAATATGATAACAATAAACTATAAAAGTACAATTAATAAAAATGATAGATATATTTTAAAAATTATTGACTTTAAAATCCATTTAAAGTATTAACATTAAAAATTCTAATAAAAATAATAAAAGTTAGTAAAAAATAATAATAAATAAATTTATTAATAAAATTAATAATGTAAGAAACTTATTAGTTTTAAATTAACAAATAAAATAATTTTAACACTAATTTATCTAACAATACACGATGAAAAAATATTGTTCGAATTAGACTCAAATCCCCCTTAACCCATTTAGAAGTGTTGCGAGGCTCCTTTTGCCATAATTACTTTTAATAAAGTTGATGCACGGCCCCCACTAGTACAACTTATAGTGATGGAGCGCAATCTAGTCGGTCCTAGCTGTCAATGATCTTGCCTCTGACTGGAGCAAAAGGTGCCTGAAACGGGGAAGAAAGCGAGTAGTCTCCGGGGAGGAACCCGGTGAGAGTGCTCCGAAACTCAAGTTAGTATTTTCTCAAAGGCAAGATAAAAAACCAGATGGCGCAAAGTTATCACGTACCTCC